CAATCAATCAATCAATCAAACCCCTTTTTTGTTTATTTATTTTGAAATTCTGCATCTGCATTTTTTTAAAACACCTCATACCCCTGCAAAAAACAGAACTTCATTTCAAAAAAAAATACAGGTCAACTCAGGGACCATATATCTCATGATTAAAAAAGACAAAAAAAAATTCCTGCTTTTCTTTATATATATATTTTAAATTTTCTTTAAATCCAATTTAGTTTTTTATTTTTTTTAAATCCTAAACAAAGTCGGATTCCAAAGAAAAAATATGGGGTTGTAGGGCTTAAAATTACCTACAACCCCATATATATATATATATATATATATATTACCTATTATTTAATTCAGGAAAATTCTGGTCAAATCGGGTCCGCGGCGCGGACCTGGACGGTCGCGGACGCGGCCACATATGCGGCCGCCATCCGAGATCAGCCCCGCGGACGCGTCCGCGGGTGTTTCATAGCACATGGGTCTTTCCAAAGGTATTATCGATTGGTCTTCAATGATTGGAGTGCTGTTGATTCTGCTATACCTTTAAGACCATTATCCGATTTCCTGGACCCCTTTCCCCTACCAGAATTTTGTCTGGTTCCCTCTTCGTGGTATGGGTAAGGTTAAAGGAATGTCCCTTCTGATTCATAATGACAAAGGGTATGATTTTGTGCGTGGTTGTCAAGAATTTTTGGCGCCCAGGGGGGGTGAAGAGGCACAAAGTTTCTATTCTCAACTCCTAAGGGACGCTGGGCCCGGTTCTCAACATTTTCTGTCTGGTGACTCCGGGTAGACTGTGAGGACCCCGACCTCAATTTTCTCAAATATCAATATCAGCCTTGGGCACTGGGCCCGTTTTAAAAAAAAAAACAAAAACAAAAAAAACAAAAAAAAACTTTCAACCCCTTCGTTTTGTTCCCCTTCGACAATGTCCGCATTGGAGGTGCATTTGAGAGTGATATCCTAGGGGGGAGCTACTTTCCCCCCTTTTCCGAAATCTGGTCTGGACAGAGGAGGGGGGGGGGGGGGGGGGGGTTCTCCTGGAGAGTCCTCTCTACCCTTCCACTTACGAGTTACCCTTTTGGATTTTTTTGTGGGGGACTGCACTCCCTTATCTCCAAGTGGTTTGAAGCTATCACGCTCACCCGATCGTGCTGTTTCCTGGTCTGACAGGATCTGGTCCTCTGTGCAGTTTTCAAAGAATTCAGCCGAAGAACTTGTTGGTTTCCCTGTGTGGATTGGTATTTTTCCGTAGTTTCACTTTCATGGTTAGAGTCCCTCCAACCGACTCTTGCTCCTTTTCTGATTTCGACTCCTGTAACCTGTAAGACTCGTTTGTACATGTTATAGAGGGAGGTTTCGGGATTCCATTGAGATCACCGAAGAGAAGCACCAATCCCTCTTCACCGCCATCCTTCTCATCCTCTTCGGAAAATACGGGCATCGGTGAGAGCGGGACCGTTGCTCTTCATGCATGATCTTCGTTATACACTACCACGCCTTGTCTAGTGTGTGTTCTTCTTCACTAGACAAGTGTTATATTTCTTCATCCAAAACATCTTCCTCCCGTTTTCGTTTTTCCCTCACTCGGACGATATCTTCTTCCATATTGGCGGTCCAATTGACTGCCAACTGGGTGCTCTTCTCTCCCTTTTCTCCATTGGTTTTACCCTTCTCCTTTCGCATGTTGCCCTTCTCTTTGACTGGCCTGTTTTCTTTGGCTGGTTGGCTCCTTTTGCATCTCCTCCCCCACCTGCACCTTCCCCACTTTTCAATCACCCTTCTCCTTTCGCATGTTGCCCTTCTCTTTGACTGGCCTGTTTTCTTTGGCTGGTGGGCTCCTTTTGCATCTCCTCCCCCACCTGCACCTTCCCCACTTTTCAATCACCCTTCTCCTTTCGCATGTTGCCCTTCTCTTTGACTGACCTGTTTTCTTTGGCTGGTGGGCTCCTTTTGCATCTCCTCCCCCACCTGCACCTTCCCCACTTTTCAATCCTCTGTCCCCATTCATCGTACCACTGTCCTTTCTCCCGCCGTTCCCTTTGCCCATGTTTCCACCATCGCGATCCTCTCCATTCTTCGCCCCTTCTCCCCCCCTGATACCACCTGCCCCTCCTTCTCCTCCTCCTCTCCCTCTTGACACCCTCTTCTCCTTCGGCAGGGGCTTCCGTTCTTTGAAATTCACAGCCTTTGCATACGATTTTTTATTTTTTGACCAACAATCCTTATCACCTTCCGAATGAAAATACTTTCTACACAATGGACACCAGGGTGTACTGGCACAGATGGCATCCAGTTCAACGTAACCTAAGTTGCCCAGATCTACAATTAAATACTGCTCGTATTGTAGCCGAGCAGCCGAATCCAAGTCGGAGCAAATGTTTGTCAAATCAGGTTCCACAGGATCATTGAAGGCTGGGAATTCCTTCAGGATTGGACCAAAGGCGTCCGTCCCGTCGGACACAGCTTTTGTGAGATGGGGGAGAGCTCCCACTATGACCTGCAAACACCTAATCCAAGAGAATTTGTGTCTTGCTATCTCTCTCCATTCCCAAAGCTCGTGTTCATGATCCATGGTCTAAGTGAGAGAGTGCATTTTTCTCCGTCTAATTCTACAATCTACTGCCCTGCTCGTAGCATCCAAATTGCAATTTCTTTGCCTGTTGACACATACGTCACAAAGTTTCGTCCCTAATTGTGGAACAACCCACATTTGGGAGGAGCTGAAATGAACCCTGCATTAGCCCACCCGTTTTCGTAAATCTGCTCTAATTGTATGGACCGACATAGAGTCATCGCCTGCACTAATCGTATGGACAGGGACATAGAGTCATCGCCAAAGAAGATCGAAACTGCATGCTCCTGGAGCCACTCCTCCTGGATTTTGGTGACTTCAGGGTTAGTCACTACTCCGGGTTTCACATAACCCTCCCCGGTTTCCACCTCTCTGGGAGTGAGATTTGTTGGAAAAGTCCCATAGAATGCGGCAATGGAGATTAATGCACATTGAGAAATGAAGCATTTCAATTTTGTTGTTTTAGCAAATTCGGTGTCATTTATTTTTTGTCGTTTCCGTTTTCGCAGCTGCGCGCAATGATAACGACGCAGACAACTCATGCATCCGACGAAGGGCCGGCTACGGAAGAAAAAGATGTGAAGGACACGGCAATCGCCATTCATGCGTTCCATACATGACACATTCACACGGAAGACAACAAAAACAACCTGAGCGACGAATCACGGACATGCGAGTACAAAATTCTCACACACAAAATAAGACTTCAATGACATACATTCCTTCCATGTTCTATATTAACGCGGAATTCGAAAAGAGGAGTCCAAATGTCCGCCCTCGAAGCGCACCACAGCAACGACAGACTCCAGCTGCCTTCTACTTAATAGCTTACGTGTCGTGGACTGGCCCAATAGACAAGGTCTTGGAGCACATCTACGACATCTGCTTCAATGAAAAAGTAATCACAACGATAAAAAAAAGAAAACCAGGAGGTGGATTGCTGACACAATAAACCTCCACCTGCCTTCTACTGTCATAGAACGCTAAAACAACACGTGCACGAAGATGACGACTGTCGACGTCGCGACACCACCGAACCGCGCGCTCCAACCACGACCATCGACGACAACACATGTAGTGCAATGGAGGGGTTCTACCCATCCGTCACGATGGATCGCTAAACAGGAACGGCGACCGGCCACCTCACGTTCCCCATCGCCCCACCATCACCCCCCACCCGACCTCGTCCAGTCGCGGCCTTGCGGATGAACCATGTGTCACTTCTCGTTATCGCCATCGTCATCTGCCGGAGGGCCGCTGCCGATCCACCCGTGTTTTGCTGCTTCCGTTGCATTCTTGAGGGCCGCGTTGTGGCCGAAAACCAAGCCGCAATCGGCCCATTCCGAGATGCAATGCGGGTAATCTCCCAGCGTGAGGTGGGCCTTCCCCAGACGATCCAAGATTAGGTTGGCGCTGTCAACGATGTGCCTCCGCCAGTTGAAGATGTAGGAGCCCGCCGCTATGAGTGTAGGTTTGGCGACCATGGGCGCGTAGAATGATGCCTAGTAGTGTGAACGGTCGTCGTCACCGCCCATCCGCATGATCCACATGCACGCGCTCAACAGAACTTGGAGACAATCCGCAAGGCGCGTCAACCTATCCTGTTTCACGCGGCCACCGTCCGCCCATTGCCCGCTCCAAACTGCGTCTGTCCAACAGTCTGCCAGGCGAAGAACTGTCGCCTCCTGCCGCGCCGCCACGTCGTCGTCTTCGGGCCTATCCACAATCTTAACTCCAGCGAACCACAGAGGCACGTCCGTCTTCATTGCCAGCGTGTGGTAGACGAGCGTAGGGGAAATGACTTTCGACCATTCTAAAGCCTGCCAGACCGCTCGCGTGACGTCTGTTGCGAAGTTCACTGTCACGTAAGATTCTGCACGAGCGAAGCCAGACGACCTCGACGACGATTTGAAGATCCTGCCGTGGATGGCACGCAGCACCACTTTCTCCACGTTGCGCGCTCTGCGCAGAGCCGGTTCACGTTGCGCAGGGTCCTCCATCTTGAAGCGCGGCACATCATTCGGCGGCATCACCAGCATCGAAGGCGATTCTGCTCCTGCATCTCCGTTCGCGATGGCCACGAAGTAGTCCATGCAATTGCCTACCACCTCCCTTAACGGCTTCCCCGGTCCCTGACCCCAGAATGCATCGCAGTCGATCCACAACTTCGACCTGTCTTTGAGGTTTAATCACTTTCTTCACCATCGTCGAAACCGGGCGGACGTCGTCATCATCGCCCCCCCCCCTGCCATCCTTCCTCCCATCATCGCGGCGGACCTCATCGACCCTCCCCTCTTCCGCAGCTTCCACGACTCCGCTCCCGGTGGTGTGATCCGCTGCCGCTGTTCGACCACTGCCCGCCGTCGTGTCAACCTTTTGCGCAGACAGTGTTTTTTCCACCCGTGAAGTCCCCGCCTGTTGTAGCGCGGGGAGTGGCTGACGCGGCTGCACCTGCCCGACCTTTGGCGGAACTTGTCTCGCCACGCACGCGTCCGTCATGGCAATCCCTGCCGCCTTAGGGGTTCGTGCCAACGTCACGGCGACACCACCGACCAAACTTCGCTTCAGAGCAGCCGGCTGCTCCCTCGACACCCCGTCCCGCCCAAACCCCAAATGATTCATGACGTCTGCCCCTTGTGCATCCACCATCGACACTTCCTCGCCCTGCACATCCCCAGTATGTTCGGAGCTTTTGTCATCGAAGCGCGGCCTTTTCGACTTCGGCACGTGCCCTCTGCCTTTTTGGCTCTCCTCACTGTCGCCCGATCCGCCGTTTCTCTTCCCCTTCCCTGAAGCGTCGCGCGGTGCCATGTCGTCCTCAAGTAGACAAATAAGAAGTGTGTGCCGAATCCAAACAGCTGCGGCGCTTGGCTCACGTGGACGAAGGACCACGTGGACGACGCGAATGAAGGAGTGGTGGGAGGTCGATGATGGGCACCTTGCCGACGGACGACGTTGATGATGCGGCGCTTCGCTGCTGTGGATGAAGGACCACTCCGATGGCACGGCGGTTGGCTGACGTGGATGCAGGAGGACGTGGATGGCCGCGGAGCCCGAACCCGCCAATCGTACCGTCGAAGCTGATGACTGGGCGTGCGACGACGAGACCATGCACAGACGGTGTCTTTGGAGTCGTCAGGATAGAATGGCAGCGGTACAGAATGCCTCCCGGAATCCCATTTTGTACGTTGCGAGGTCTCGCACCACACCATGGACAGGCCAGGACGTCCACTACCGCCCGCCCCTTCGTTGATCTACAACAGACGAAATTTCTAGCGGTGTGGAGGTCATCCTCCGCATGGCGAACAAGGCACGAGGGCGCGCAGGAGCTCTCCGCAGAAGGTACAAAGACCCCGCCCCCCATCCGTCCTCTCCAGCCCCCAAAATAGGCCTGGAGCTCCAGTCCGCCATTTGCCACTTGCGCCCGAAAAAAAAAAAAAAAAAACCACCCTGCCGCCTACACATTCGCAGAAACCCCCAAAGAAGACCCTGCAACATCGCCATCCATGCGTGGAGACAACAACTCACAACAGCGGCCTTTAAACACTACCTGCAAACGGTGGACCTGCTATACAACCAGAGGACGCGCCCTTCACACTCGTTATGAAAACGCGCGATTATCACTACGCGCGGGCAACGACAACTCGCCGACTGTGCACAACCTACACATCAGCGTAGTGCGTCATGGAGGATGACGGAAACGGCGACGTGCCGGAAGTGCACACGGGCCATGGCTTCGGACGTTCTACAGTCCTGGTCGGCCCACGTCAGGCTCTTTCATGGATCGCTTTAGCAATCTCCATGAGGGCATTGCACATCATGAAATTCGCCTGGTCAGCCTTCTCGTAGTGCTCCTTCTGCACTTGTATCTCTCTCTCCAGAATGTCGCATTGCCTCATCAGAATAGAGCACGACCTCTTGCTCGCGGTGACCACCGTCGTCGACATCAGCGCCCCGTGCTCCTTCATGACGGCAGCCATCGCCTCGAATGTCTGTTGTCTGACATTCTTTCGTTTGCTTGCCTCGCCACCGCCACCGCCACCACCGGAGAACGACGAATCCCTCGTCGATCCGCGATCGTCGTCCGGACCCCCCCCCCCCACGTCACTACTGCCCGATTCGTTTCGCCCGCCCGGCGAACCATGCATTTGAACACCTCCCGGCGCACCCGTGTCCGCGAGATTCGTGGGGCGTATAGTGTGATCGCCCCCGGACATGGCCTTCATCTCCGAATACACGCGCTCATCCATCCTAAAGTCGAACCCCCGCTCCCTCCTCTCCCCCGGCGTTAGTGTAAAGAAGTTAGGCTTCCCGGATTCTCCCATGAACTTGTGCACGGATTTGAACTGCTGGTACAGGTTGTCCCATTTCTTACCGCAGTCGACGGCCTTCCTGCTCGTCACCCCCATCTGCACGAGCCTCTTCTCCACATCCTCCCACTTCCATGTCTTCGTCTTCATCCGTCCGTAGTTGTGCCCCAGGCCGGCCAGATGCGCATCCTGGTCTCTTTTGGCTCTGATAAGAGCGATCATATGCTCCAGTATCCAAAAATCCCTGCTTTTTGTTCCGTCGCCCGCCGACGATTCTTCGGCGCACTTCTTGCCTTTCCGTCCCGTGCGCGACTCTCTAACCTTGGTTGTCGCCGTCGACCCTCTGCGCTTCCTCCCTACTGGACGAATCTCCATCTCACCGTCGTCGTCTTCGTCGTTGTCATCACGGCCTTCGTCTACAGCGATCTCCTCGCCCCCTCCAGCATCACAGTCCACGAACACGTTGTCGCCCCCCACACTCATTCTCGCCACCCCTCTCGTTATGCTGGACGTGTGCGCGGAACGCAATCGTTGCCGTTCATCATCCCAAAACTGATGACCGATGACCTCTGTAGCGACGCGCTCATCGTCGTCCCCTTCTCTGTCGATTGTACTGCCTGCACTCGTCGTTCGGCAGCCAGCCAATCCACCTGTCTTCCTCCTCGAAGCGGCCACACTTGCTGTACTCAAAGCCACCCGCCTCGGCGAAACGAATCCACGACTATCCGCAGGGCCAGCCGCCCTCACGGAAGGCGATTTGTGTTTGGTGGCAGAAGCCGGGTTCACGACAACAGTGTGCGTCATGCCCTCGCCACTCCCAGACCTCAGACCGAAGCTCAGATCGACGAGTCCAGCGTCGTTACCAGCGGAGGTCCGGCCCTCCAGCAAATCCGTGTACGTCGGCGTCGATTCGTGTCTGTAGACCTGGCTCCCCATCCAATCCTGCGTCGAACCGCTGCCCAGAGGAACTGTCGAGGATCTGGGCTCGTCGACGTCGTCGTCACTCGGAGGCAATGGAATCTCGTGGGACGGCAGGTGATTGTACAACGTCGGGTCGTATGGCCGCCTGCCGCCTTCCGCACTGTTGCAACGCTGACGCGAGGACCCCCCACCTTCCACCGACATCGCCGTCTTCGTCTGAAGCTTATCCATCTTCCTCGACCTCTTCGGCGTTTGACGCGTCTGTTTCCTTCCAGGAACGCGACCAAGGAAACAAATGTGGAAGACGACAACGATGAGCAGCAGCAGAGCGACAAGCAGCAGCAAAGGCAGCCTGCGGTACAGGTCTGCCATGAACGACAAGTTTGCCGACACAGAACCGTTGTCGCATTCGCGGTGAGCAGAGACACAGTGTGCGAGAGGGAAGACGCCAACGAACCAAATTCATGCAAGCAGCGACAGGGGGAGGACGCTTACAAAATCCGTAATTCCGACCGTTGGGAAGCCCGCGGGAACGCCACGAAACCTCCGTCCGCCGGCCAAAGACGTACGACGATCGGCATGGCCCCTCCGTGGGGCCGCCAGAAGGACCTGCAGGGCCGTCCCGCGATTCAGCACCAACGGTAAAACGAGCAGGCCGTTGCTGGAGGTTTTCGACGACGACGGCCGGGGATGTCCGTCTTCTGGCTGCTGGACCAGCACTGGACCACCTTCGGCCTCCAATTTCCGTTCTGGAGTAGCCGCCGACACCCCGTTAATCGCGGATCGTCGGGCTCCGAAGGACCTCGCGAGGTCCTTCGAGTTCGAGGACGATTTGGCTGCGAAATCCTCGGAGCCCGAGGATTTGTTTTCGGACTGTTTTCCCATTTTCTTTTCCGATTTCATCTCCGAGGACAGGTGGAACGACGACGGAATCCTTGGAATTTTGTCCCCGGGGAGTGTCTAACGACGCCCAAAGAAAAGGAAAAGAAAAAGAAAAAAAGAAAAAGAAAAACAGGAAAAAGAAGGAAGGAAACAGGGAAAAAGGGGGGAGGAAGAAGAAAAGAAGAACAAACGAAGCCTGAGGCCGGTGGTCCAGAACCCATTAGCTCTCCCATACTCGTCCGGCGCAGATACTCCCCTATGCATGTGTGTGTGTGTGTGTGTGTGTGTGTGTGTGTGTGTGTGTGTGTGTGTGTGTGTGTGTGTGTGTGTGTTGTTATATTTGCTATATGTTCAAAAAAAGCATGATCGTGCCAGACTGTTTGGTCGGACTTTCACCGACTCATCAGGTGTGTGTGCGTGCGCGCACACGCGTGGGGGCGTGCACTTTTGTGCGTGTATGTGCGCACACACACACCCACACACACTTTTCCACTTTTTTTTTTAACAACCAATCAATCAGTCAATCAGTCAGTTACCCAATCAATCAACTAATCAAGCAATGAAGAAATCAAGAAATCAAACCCTCGGCCTCTTCTACATCAGAATGAATCTGCACTGGTTATGCGCTAGATTCATGATCTGGTAGGGCCCTTGGAGTGTTGCATGGGCGGTGGTACCCCACTTGGGAAGGTTTGGGCATGTAGAACCAAAGGCCAGAACTTGGGGCGCCCAAAACCAAAAGGGTTTCGCGTGGGCGCTTTCCCCCAACTACCCCCCAGATAGTGGTTTATTCAACGGGAAACTACACGGGAGTCACAAGAATGAGTCATAATTGCACTATGGGCCAAGATACAGTTCCAAATTGCAGTTTGGGCAATGTATAAAACCCAGTTTTCTGGCCAGGTAGGGCGTCCGAAGTGCAACTGCAAACTGTATCTTGGCCCATAGTACAATCATAAGTTTATAACTTCTTTTTGTGACTCTACTGAAGTTACCTCTTTATTCAATCTTTGCCCACGAGAGGGAGCCAGGCAGCACTAAGCGCCTAGCTCCACAACTCAGACAACTATCCACTATACAAAAATGGACTGTCGCTACTTTCCTCTGTCCATGTGAAAAAATTGTTCGGATAGCAGTCAGAACCATTGTATAGTTCCCAGCCTGCAAATTTCGTTATGTGGAGCTCACTATGCGGACCCAAACCTGGAGAGTGTACGTGGAATCTGGACGTACAAAACACTATTGACAGAATTTGACGACGCCGTATCTTGTAATGCTGTCAGGGAGTCTGGTAGTACACTCACGAATTGGAGAGTTGCAGAGTGGACGGTAAGGGCCTCGCCACACCAATGTCGAAAACTGATTTTTCGACATTTTCTCCTCGCCACACAGCATGTCGAAATCTGAGATGCAGAAAAAATTCAGGAGCTGTCAGGGAAAGGGTTTCGACACCTCCTGTCGAGAAGGGCTCATTTCCCAGCCTGCAACTCGCACATTTTCAACAGTCCTCGGATGGGATGTCGAATTCTTGCCCGAATGTCGAAAAAGAGAACGCACCAACGCTTGTCCTATCTTCACCCCAGTTTGTCTCTTTTGTGTATACGATTCGTGAGTTCTTCACTTGGACATGCGGTGTGGCAAAGAGGGGTTTTCTGTCGATAGAGGGAATGTCCAAAATCTCCTGACATATGTCAAATTTCGTGATGTTTCGACATTGGTGTGGCGAGGCCCTAAGTGGAGAGAGGCCGCGTTTTCCATAATTTCGTCCAGCGGAGAGTCGTGGAGCGAGGGGCTAAGATATTGTGGATCCTTTGGCTCTTCACCTTTGTGACACAATCATCCACCTCCCCTTGAAGAAAAGAGGAAGCGAAAGCAAAAAAGACAGAGAACAACAAATAGAAAAACAAATCAACTGCTAACGGTCAAAGCACAACTTTATTTTTCTTTCTTTTTTTTTTCCAAAGGGTGATGATAGGCGTTGAGATATCAGCATTGAACTGACCGACCCTAGGTAATTCTGAATGTTGCATCTGACAGTATCTGGATTCAAAC